TCAGACTCATTATTAGCTCTTTCCTTTTTCTTTCTTGTTTCTTTTATTTTGTTATAAGCTCACATGTTGTGGAGCTCAGGGGTTAATTCCTTCTCAATGCTCAGGATGTTCCTTCAGCTGTAGTCAAGAGATCCTGGGGTGCTACTGGGTCGAACCTGGGCTTCCTGCATGCAAAGCATGAACTCAGCCCTTTATTTTGTTGTGGGGCTGAGGGATCATTCCCAGTAGGATTGTGGTATTTTGGGACCATATGGTGCCAGGGATCAAACCTAGGCCCCCTGCATGCAAGGCATGTATTCAGTCCATTAAGCAATCTCTCCAGTCCATGTTCAACTCTTTGAATCATCTCTATGGCCCAGAATCTTTTGTCCCCTACCTCCCATAAGTTCATCTTTTAAAGGAAAAAGTACCAGAGCTCATCGCTTTTTTATTTGCTTTGGGTTACACCCAGAGATGCTCAGGTTTACTCCTGGCTTTGCACTCAGGAATTACTCCTGGCGGTGCTTCGGGGACCATATGGGATGCCGGGGATTGAACTCAGGTTGGCTGCATGCAAGGCAAACACCCTACCCACTGTACTATCACTCCAGCCCCGAGAGCTCAGCACTTTTAAGAAGCCTCCTAATCATTTTGTGCACCATATAAATTAATATTGGCAGAGGTTATTTCAAAGACCATTGGAAAGGCTAATTTCAAATTGCCCATTTTCAAAGCTAAAACTATTTTAAGATATAAGGAGGGTCAGCTATGTGTTCCTATCTTTTCAGGGTGGAGAAGGGAGTGTTTTCCTACCAAGGATAGAGATTGTCTCCCAGTTCCTATCTGTTTACTGGGCTTAAGAGTCCACTACAGGGCCAGAGAGATAAACAGCAGGCAAGGCCTTTCATGCAGTTGCCCCAGGTTTGAATCGCCAGCACCACGTCTGAGCAGCACCAGAGTCAGTCACTCCTGAGCACAGAGCCCGAACTAGGCCCCGAGCACTGCCTGGGGTGGCCCACCCCCCCCCAAAAAAAACACAAAAATAGGACTAGATTTGCAAAGCATGCAGTACAGCCTGTTTGAGCCATGCCTCGGGCCTGTAACTAAATCTACCTTTATAAAGATCACAATACACTTTACTTTGATCAAGTAGTGTATAGTACTCTATCAATCTTGGCTTAGAGATGAAGAAATTGGAGCAGGCCCAGAGAATAATAGTGATCAGAACTAAATCTGAGGGGCTAGTGTGATAGTACAGTGGGTAGTGCATTTGCCTTGCACTTGGCCGACTCGGGTTCAATCCCCAGCATCTCATATGGTTCCCGAGCACCGCCAGGAATAATTCCTGAGTACAGTGCCAGGAGCAACCCCTGTATATTGCCAGGTGTGACCTCCCCCCCAAAAAACCCATAATTAAATCTGATGACTCTTCGATACCTTCTTTAATTTCTAGGTTTTTTTTTCATCTCTGAGGAAGCTGAAGTGTATCAGAAAACATTTATCTTCAATGAAAGGCTTATCTGTATATGGGAGGGCATATAAGTCCAAGAGGATTTTTATTTTTGCTTTTTTTGGGGTCACACCCAGCAATGCACATGGGTTACTCCTGGCTCTGTACTCAGGAATTACTCCTGGCGGTGCTCGGGGACCATATGGGATGTTGGGGATCAAATCTGTTTTTTTTTTTTGCTTTTTGGGTCACACCTGGCGATGCACAGGGATTACTCCTGGCTCTGCACTCAGGAGTTACTCCTGGCGGTGCTCAGGGGACCATATGGGATGCTGGGAATCAAACCCGGGTCAGCCGCGTGCAAGGCAAACGCCCTACCCGCTGTGCTATCTCTCCAGCCCCTGGGGATCGAATCTGGGTCTACTGCATGCAAGGCAAATGCCCTACCCGCTGTACTATAGCTTCAACCCCAAGAGGATTTTTTGTGTGTGGTACAGTAGATCAAATCCAAGACCCACATACGCATGAAACATAGGACTCTTACCACTGAGCTACCTCTCTCACACTACTAGGTTTTGATGGGGAAGGGGAACCACCATCTGCAGTGTTCAGGCTTGGATCTCAGGGGTCACTCCTGGCAGTGTCTGGGGAGTCATGCAGTTTGGGGGATGAAACCTGAGCCTCTTCCATGTAAAACATATGCTTCAGCTATTTGAATTATTTAAAATAATGGAAAGCTTCCCTTTTTTTGCTTTTGGGGTCATACCTTGCAATGCTCAGGGGTTACTCCTGGTTCTGCACTCAGGAATTACTATGGTGGAGCTAGGGAGACCATATGGGATGCTGGGGATCGAACCCATATCAGTCATGTGCAAGGGAAATGCTCTACCCGTTGTTATTGTTCCAGACCCTGGAAAGGTTCTTTTCAGTGATAATTTTTAAAAAGATACATTCTTTCCTCCATTCTTTTTGATAGTTCATTTGTTCATTCAAGGGACAGCATTATTCAGCTCTTGTTGAACAACTGTCATGCAAGTGGCAAAAGCTCTTAGCATAAATTTTTCGTTTTGGGACACACCTGGCAATGCTCGGGGGTTGCTTCATTCATGAATTACTCCCAGTAGTGCTCAGGAGAACATAAGTGATGCCCAGGATCAAACCTGGGTCAGCCAAGTGCAAGGTAAGCTCCCCAATCACTGTACTATATCCCTCCCGACCCCTCTAGGCATATATTTTTAATATTTTATAGTGCTGAGGTCAAATGCAGGCAATGTCTCATTCATCCAAAGGAAGCGTCCATTGCTGACATAAATCCCCAATCCTAGGTATATATTTTTGCATCCTTGGAAGTTATATTCTAAGTGGAGAAAGACAGAAAACAGTCATGCAAAAACATAATAAACCGGTAAAATAGAAATTATGTTAGTTCATGTGGAGATCAGGAATATGAGTTTAAATTTAAAAGTGGAGATTTGCACATATGTGCACGAGGCTCTTGTTTCAATCACTAGATCACTCTCCGTCCCTTAAACAATAAACATTAGTGGCCAGAACAGGTATCAATGGAGCAAGAAAGAATGCTGTGTAACTGACCCAGCAAAAACTCAGAATGCTGCTAAGGTTGAGTGGAAGGAATGATGAACATACTACTTTATGTTTATCATTTATCTTGTTGATATGTTACAATGCTGTGTCTGTTAGGGGACACCGATGCAGAAAAAAAATGACAAATTCCGTTTTGGCCACAGCAGGTTTCAAGTGCCACAGGATAGAAATAAATAATGGTCTGGCAGACAGTTGGAAATGCTGGAGTTTAGGGATAGATAGTTGAGTTTTATTTTTTTATTAAAAAATTTTTTAATAGTGAGACATCATGAGGTACAGTTGCAGACTTACACATTTTTGTGCTTGGGTTTCGATAGCTGAGTTTTAGATGTTGATTCGGAACCTATCTTGGATGGCTGAAGACTGGAAATAAATAGGTGAGTGCATCAAAAGAGAGAAGAGAGGCAAGAAGTGAAGGGGAGAACCTCACTATTGAATATCTTTATTTCAGGGGACGAAAGATGAAGAAAACAAGAGAAAGGCTGGGATATTTCATTCTCAGCAGAGATCGGGTTCAACACAGACAGGCTCGGCACTTGTGTTAGATCCCTCATCCCTTCCATTTCATGTGAACTTTAGGTCTTCAGGACTAAATGTATCCTTCATGCTGCCTCCCTCAGGGTGTGAATCTTTATTAAAACCTTCACACTGGGGCTGGAGCGATAGTACATAGGGTAGGGTGTTCGTCTTGCACAAGCGCAACCTGGGTTCAACTCCCGACACCCATATGATTCCCCCAAGCACCTCCAGGAGTAATTCCTAAGTGTAGAGCCAAGAGTAACCCGTGAGCATCGCTGGGTGTGACTCCCCCTCACCCCAAAAAAATCCCTTCAGACTATAGACCAAACATGATGGCCACTTACTACCTGTATTGCAAACCATAACACCCAAAAGGAGAAAGCGTAAAAGTGAATATGCCGGGCTGGAGAGATAGCACAGCGGGTAGGGCGTTCGCCTTGCACGTGGCCGACCCGGGTTCGATTCCCAGCATCCCATATGGTCCCCTGAGCACCGCCAGGAGTAACTCCTGAGTGCAGAGCCAGGAGTAACCCCTGTGCATTGCCAGGTGTGACCCAAAAATCAAAAAAAAAAAAGTGAATATGCCTGCCACAGAGGGGATTGGGTTGGGTTGGGGGGGAAGGGGTAGGGGTAGTGGGAGGGATACTGGCAACATTGGTGGTGAATGGGCACTGGTAGGGGAATGGGTACTCAATCATTATATAACTGAAACGTAATCACAAAAGTTTGTAAGTCTATAATTGTATCTCGTGGTGACTGTTAAAAAATAACAAAAAAAAAAAAAACCGGCTGGAGCAACGGCACAGCGGGTAGGGCGTTTGCCTTGCACGCGGCTGACCCGGGTTCGATTCCCAGCATCCCATATGGTCCCCTGAGCACCTCCAGGGGTAATTCCTGAGCGCAGAGTCAGGAGTAACCCCTGTGCATCCCCCGGGTGTGACCCAAAAAGCACAAAATAAATAAATAAATAAATAAATACCAAACTCTTCGGGAGGTCAAGCAGAAGACATTAACATGCCCGAGCGTGAGCTCCAAACGCCCCCAGAACTCTTCCCCCGAAGCCCCCCCACCTCCATGCTTTCACATCCTCGCCTCCTCTCACGGCTGCAAACACTGGAGGGGGCTCCCCCAAACACAGGACGTTAGCAAGGGGCCACACAGGCCAGACCAAACGACCAACAGCAGCAGCCCAGAACAGCAGCAGCCCAGGGAACGCACCGAGTCCGGGCTGCCCTTTAACCTCCTCCGGCGGCCCCCACCTCCGGCGCCTCCTCCGGTTGGCCCCGCCCCTCTCCCCGAGGCCCGCGCTCATTGGCCGGCGCCCCGCCATCCCCATTGATCAGTTCGCCCTAAGCTCCGCCCGCGCCGCGCCGGGCTCCGCGGCCCTGAGGCGCACGCTCGGCAAGTCGCTCTCGCAGACCTTGCTCCGTGCCGCTTCCCCCTTCTTCCCGTCATCCCTGTTTCCGCTTTCTCCCGGCGCTTTGGTTTTTCCACCTCCGAAGCATTTCGCGCGTCCCGGGCTCGGTGACGTCATCTCTCTGCGCTGTACGGCCACCCGCCGGTGGAGGAAGGAACGGCTCAGCCGCCCTTCGCTGCCTTTGTTGGGCTCTTACTGCTTCTCCGGATCATGGCGCCGTCTCTATGGAAGGGGCTGGTGGGCATCGGCCTCTTCGCCCTAGCCCACGCGGCCTTCTCCGCCGCGCAGCGTAAGTGCCCGGGTACAGGACACGGGGGCAGCGTGTGGGTGCACCCGAGTGTCAGACCCTTGGACCCGGTGTCCCGGGAACGGTCCCTGAGACCTGAGAGTTGGAAGGCTCGCGGTTGTAAGGCTTGCATGGGGGAGTTTGAGGAAGTGGGGTAACAGATCCTGGCAGGATGGGGGGGAAAGGGGTGACTCGGAGTGGGCTTGAGTGGGAGAGGGATCTGGCCGGAAATTGAGGCGAGAAATGTCAGATCAGGCAAAGTGTCAGATTGAGGACCTCGGATGCTGAGAGTCCCATGACAAGTAGGTGGACAGCAACTTGGGCACTGCTGGGCTGTTTCGAAGAGACGTAGAGAGGCGAAGTGGTCATTCGTCCTGGGCAGGCACTGTGGTCCGGAGGAAAGAGCACTGTACCGGGAGTCGGATCGGTAGAGCCTTAAAAACGCGCTTTACTGTTAATTCGCTATGACCTTGAGCAAGGCATGGGCTTCCTGGGAGGCCACGTTGAAACAGATTTTAATTCCTAGCCGCTCTGTGTTATAGAGTGATGGGGAAGTTTCAACTGAAGATAACGCGAAAGTACAACCGTGTGTATGATAGTAGCTGCAAGATTATGCTAAGTCCTACAGAAAAGTGCAGCTTTGTCTTGAGACAGGTGGCCCCCTTTTTAGATCTTCCTTCTCTCGACCAAGAGTTAGCAAACTCTGGCAGGTGGTGTTAACGCAGCTTCCCTCCTGTTTCTGTCACGAGTTGAGAATATTTTGAATGTTTCAACAGGGGCCAGAGAGATATAGTACAATGGCACTTGTCTTAGGGTCCTGAAGCCCCACCAGCAGTGATCCCTGAGGGTCAAGTCAGAAGTAAATCCCAAGCATCACCAGATGTGACACAAAAAAAAGGCTTTGCCTTGAAAAAAAATCGGGGGCCACACCTGGCTTACTCCTGGCTCTGTGCTCAGGGATCACTCCTGTCAGTGCTCAGAGGACAAGGGAGGACAGTGAGCCATGTTCCAGATTCAATCAGCGTCAGCTCTTTGCAAATGCATTACTAGCAATAATGTGTTGAATACTTTGCCATTTTGTATCAGATTGGAGGGGCTGGGGAAAAGAATAGCATTTTGTCTGTCAGTTATGTTAAATCCAGTGTACAACAATAAAGTTTTATTGGCCCCTGGCCACCACGCCCATTCAATTAGGTAGCCTAGGATTACTTTCTAAGGGCAGGGACCTAGTGCTTTGACAAGACAGTATGTCCGAACTATCTGGAACTTTACAGGCTAAGTTTGCTGACCCCTGATTAGTCTTTAGAGCCCAGCATCCGTTTGTTCATGGCTGTTATTTTGATTAACAAAATAATGGGGGACAAGACCCAGTGGAGCTCAGTGCCCTGCTCATTGATGTCATTCCACAATAGCTACTCAGTGACTTTGTTGAAAGAAATGAATTCAAATTTGAACTTTGTTCTTTGTTTGATAAATTAAGTCTTTCTTTTTTTTTTTTGCTTTTTGGGTCACACCCAGCTGATGCTCAGGGGTTACTCCTGGCTCTGCATTCAGGAATCATTCCTGGCAGTGCTTGGGGGACCATATGGGATGCTAGGAATAGAACCCGGGTCGGCCACGTGCAAGACAAACGCCCTACCCGCTGTGCTATTGCTCCAGCCCTAAATTACTTTTCTTTTGAAAATTGGTTTTGGGGCCACACCCATGGGGGCTCAGGTTTATTACTAGCACTGTGCTCAGGGATCCCTCCTGGCATATTTGGGGAACTGTATGGAGGCTGTGCTATGTGCCTGGACCGCTTTTGGGGTCACACCAGGTGGTCCTCAGGGCTTACTCTTGGCTCTGCACTCAGGGATCACTCCTGGAGGTGCTTAGAGGTTCATATATGTGAGGCTGGGGATGGAGTCCCAGCATGCTACATGCAGGGCAAGCACCTTTGCACGCTGTACTCTCTCACTGGCCTGCTAATTTACTTTTCAAATCACTTTCATAGTGATATGGATCATTTAGATACATATAGCTAATAAAAATTCAGCTTTATTTAAATTTTTTTTAATTTAAACTCAGAAAAGTTGTAGAGATGGTCCAGAGAATTATTGTATGCACTTTACCCTCCTCCCTTACATCTTACATTTACTTTAGTAAATCCTGCTAATTTACTTTTCAAATCACTTTCATAATAAGGAGTGAAAAAATTAAAGTATGGATTTCTTCAAAACGTATTTTTCCCTAGATAACACTGTCCTGTTATTAATATTAAATTATTAAATATACAGTATAACATGTTACAATCATTTTAACTACTTTTTAGATACATATGTTATATTTGGCTAATAAAAATTCAGCTTTAAAAAAAATTTTTTTTTGGCTTTTTGGGTCATATCCGGCCATGCTAAGGGGTTACTCCTGGCTTTGCACTCAGGAATTACTCCTGGTGGTGCTCAGAGGACCATATGGGATCCTGGGAATCGAACCCAGGTGGACTGCATGCAAGGCAAATGTGCTACCCGCTGTGCTATCACTCCATCCGCAGTACTTTAAAATTTTTTAAATTTAAAATCTTCTTATAGAAAAGTTGTAGAGATGGTACAGAGAATTACCGTATACACTTTACCCTCCCCCTTTACATCTTACATTACCACGGTCTACTGTTTCACTGCAATTGATCTTAGTATGTCACTATTAAACAAAGTACAGGTGCAGAGAGATAGTTCTGTGGACTGAGCACATGCTTTGCATGTAGGAGGCCTGGGTTAGACCCCTACACCACTTGTTCTTAGCACAGAGCCCCCCCCAAACAAATTTTATGAGAGAGATTTCAGCGGGTAAGGTGCTTGCCTCGTGTGTGGCTGACTTGGTTCGATCTTCGACACCACACACGGTGGGTCCCCTGGGTACCAACTGGAGTGATCCCTGGCAGGTGTGCACCCCCACTGCCAAAACAAACAAACAAAAGGTAAGCCTAGCCTTTATTTGAATTTCACCAATTTTCTTGTTAATGTCTACATCTTTTGCAGGAATCAGTCTCTTGGGTATTTAGATTGAGTTGCTTTTCCCAGGCTCCAGTGTTCTGTTCAGTTTCTCCATAACTCCTGCCTTTCATGGTAGCGACAGTAGCTCACAGTTAGTGTTTGCCACGTGCCAGGCGTTGAGCTAAGCACATCACGTGTCTTGTATAATTCAGTCCTACCCAAAAGTCTTGTGAGGTAGCTATTCTTGGTATTCTTTTGAGAAATGAAAAATGAAGACGGACAGGCAGCGACGAAACTCGCACAAAATTATAGAAATGGAAAATGGTGGAGGCAGGATTCAAAGATAAGCCGTAACATGTTACATCTTACAAAAACACTCTTGGGTAATTGGTTGAAATTGTCTTGTGTAGGTGCTAGAGGTACAGTGATTCCCTGGGGGAATTCCAAGTCTAGGGGAGAAACGATAGAACCAAAAAATAATTAGACTGTAATAGATATGCTAAAAGTATCCAAGAATTCATGGATATGAGGGGAAAGGAACTAAGTCTTCGAGAAGTGTGATTCAACCCATACTGGAACTCTTCTCTAACTCAGATATGCTGGATACCGTGTACAATTTATGAAGCTTCTCCAGTATTTTTTTTTTTGCTGGGATGTTTGAGGACAGTCCCCCTAGAGCAAAGAGATCTCTGAGGTCCACCTCTTTCGTTTTACAAAACTAGGTTAAAGTGAGCGTCAGAGTAAGATTAGATTTCCAAGAAGAAAACTAGCGAGTCGAACAGATTAGGAAGTCAGACAAAAGCTATTTTGGGCACGAGTTTGATTTTTTTTTTTCTTTTCTGCGACTAAACTTCAGAAAAATCTCTGAACATGTTCTCTTTTGAGAGTAGCACTTAAAAAACAATTCGCAATTTTTGGGGTGCTGGGGGACCTGGGGAGAGAGCATAAAGAGCTGGAGCACATGCTTTGCATGTTTCTGGAAGCCTGGGTTCATTGTCGGGCACTGCATGGTCCCCCAGCTCTGCCAAGCCGTGCTTAGAGGCTACTACCGGCATGGCCCAAACAAAACAAAAGAAACTTAGCTTTTGAAATCTACAGTGCAATATTAAGAGATTGTGTTAATCTGTCTGTGCTAGAATTAAAAGATTTTTGTGTTTCGAGTGAGATTACAATGCTTGGTGGATTGGCTACTGCACTGGGACCTATTTATAATGCTCATACGGCAGAGACTAGTTTTTACCTGAAGCTAATAATTTACTCTCAAATGTGGCAGCAGCTCACATATGCTGGTACTATACAGACTCATCTTTGCTGTTCTTAACAGCAGTGCTTCTTAACATTTTCCCATTTATGACCCCCTTTTTTTAAAATTTTTGTTAGTGAGACACCATGAGGTACAGTTGTAGACTTACAAATTTTTGTGCTTGGGTTTCAATTATACAATGATCAAATACCCATCTCTTCACCAGTGCCCATTTCCCACCACCACGGGTCCCAGTATCCCTCTCACCCCCCATCCCCCCCATTGAAAGGCATTTAGAGGGAGAGTTTCCAGGATGCCATTTCCTGCTCTTCCACTGGAGCCAACAGGCTAGAAAAGGATGCTCTCTCTAGTTCCCCTTTCTCGAACTCCACATTTGATTTTTAATTTCATGTTGATTGCCTAGAGTTAGAAATCTGTCACTGTCACTTGTCCTCCCGTTGTTCATCAATTTGCTTGAGCGGGCCCAGTAACGTCTCCATTGTGAGACTTCTTGTTACTGTGTTTGGCATATTGAATACTCTTGGTAGCTTACCGGGCTCTCTGAGAGGGGAGGAGGAATTGAACTTGGCTCGGCCGGGCTGGCTGCACACAAGGCAAACGCCCTACCGCTGTGCTATCACCCCAGCCCAAGTCTTTTATTTTTCTTTTTTATTATTTAATTTTTTTATTAGTGAAACACCATGAGGTACAGTTATAGACTTATAAATTTTTGTGCTTGGGTTTCAGTTATACAATGATCAAGTACCCATCCCTCGACCAGTGCCCATCCTCCACCACCACGGGTCCCAGCATCCCTCCCACCCCCCACCCCCCACCCCCGTCCCACCCTGCCTCTGTGGCAGGGCATTCCACCTTGTTCTCTCTCTCTTCTTTTGGGTACTGTGTTTTGCAAGAGAGGCATTGAGTGGCAATCATGTTTGGTCTATAGACTACTTTTAGCATGCTTCTCCCACCCTGGGAGGGTTATGACCCCTTTTTGCCTAGTAATTTTATTTTCTTCTTGGGTTCACACCCAGCGATGCACAAGGGTTTACTCCTGGCTCTATACTCAGGAATTACTCCTCGCAGTGCTCGGGGGACCATATGGGATGCTGGGAATCGAACCTGGGTCGGCTACGTGCAAGGCAAACGCCCTACCCACTGTGCTGTTGCTCCAGTCCCAGTAATTTGTTTTTGTTTTTGCTTTTGAGCCATAACTGGCAGTGCTCAGGGCTTACTCCTGGCTCTGTGCTCAGAGATCACTCTTGGCAGTGCTTGGGGGACCATATGCAGTGTTGGGGACCAGACCAGGTCAGCTAAATGCAAAGGCAAGCACTTTACTTGCTGGAGTGTCTCTCCACCCCTTGCCGAAGAAAGTCTTACAGGGCCCTGGGTATATAAAGTAAGCAGCATTTACTCAAGCATTTACTCGTAAAGCAGTCTTACATTTATTTTAATAGTTTAGTTTTGGTTTGGGGGCTCCACACCCAATAGTGCTGAGGGGTTACTCCTAGCATGGTTTTTGGGGACCCACGTGCCGTGAAAAGCATGCACACCAGTCCTTAGAGCTAGTTCCCCAACCCCATATATTGGTTTTATTCTGCTCAATTTTTTTTTGTTTGAGGGCCGCACGTGACAGTGCTCAGGGCTTACTCCTGACTCTGCACCCAGGGACCACTCTTGATGGAGCCAGGGACCCCTGTGTGGTGCCGTTGATAGAACCCAGTGCGCAAGGCAAGCACCTCACCCATTGTACCATTTCTCCACCCTATATGTTTATTTTCGAACAAATATTTTGTGTCCCCTATTTTCAGTTAAGTGACCCTATACAGGCCTCCCCCTCACCACTTCAGTTAAGTGACCCCTAGTTTTCACAGCGAGGTTGTAATGAACTTGGTTATTCGGAGGGCCTAACATGCATCTCGTAATTCTCACATCATTCCCAGTTTTCTGTTTTAAGTGGAAAGAGAGTAACAGTCTTTTATTTCAAAACAGTCCATCTTCCACTTCGGGGTTTTATAAGTGGGCTTCATTTTGTTTGGGTAGTGCCTGGAATTGAACATTGAACACACGAGGCATGTATTCTCCCACTGAACTACACCCCCAGCGCTACATTGGGCGGGGGGTGGGGGGGGGCTAGAGCAATAACACAGCGAGTAGGGTTTTTGGGTTTTTTATTTTTTTTGCTTTTTTTTGGGTCACACCCGGCGATGCACAGGGGTTACACAGGGGTTACTCCTGGCTCTGCACTCAGGAGTTACTCCTGGTGGTGCTCAGGGGACCATACGGGATGCTGGGAATCGAACCCGGGTTGACCGCGTGCAAGGCAAATGCCCTACCCGCAGTGCTATCACTCCAGCCCCACGAGTAGGGTGTTTGTCTTGCACGCAACCGACCTGGGTTCAATTTCCAGCATCCCCTATGGTCCCCCGGGCACTGCCAGAAGTAAGTCCTGAGTGCATGAGCCAGGAGTAACCCCTGGGCAATGCCGGGTGTGACCCAAAAAACAAAAATAATGATTTTTAAAAATAAATAAATAAAACTTGGGGGGAAGGAGGGGATCCAGGTAGGGAACCCAAGGCTTCATACCTGCCAAGTGGACACTGCCACATTCTCAGTCCTCACTTTTGTTTTAATTCTGAACCTGAGATACAGGTTCCAATCCGTCAAAATATCTTTTTCTTTTCTTCTTTTTATCCCCCGATGCTTGGGATCCAACCCAGGGTTTCACAGATGCAAGGTAAACACCACTGAGCTGCCTCTGCAGTCTCCATGGAGGATGTCTTAAATGGACTGAGATAGTATCGATCATAGTAAGTTGGAGAGCTGATATTATGATCCCGGCTCTCTGAGCATCCAAATGCTGATCCTTTGTCGGCATGGTTTGCTCCCTCCTGAGGCAGCAGCATAAGTGATAATTAAATCAGGGGCACAGAAATTGATCTCCTGGAATTTGTCTTCCACCACTGCCCCCAGGGCATTCTTTCAGGAAAAACATTTCCACACTAATGTTATTTTGTCCAAACTAGGCGATGGTGATGTTATTCCAGAGTTGAGATTTATACGATTTATTCAGTAGTCATTGATTTAACTTTTTCCATTGTCAGAGATAGAGCCCAGGGCCTCACATGTGCAAAGGAAGTGCTCTTCGTCTGTTTTACGATTTACAATTTAAAATCAAAAATTGCCGTAAGAATTAAATGAGATGCGTGTTAGGCCTTTGGTAACTTTAAAATAAATATGGTTCCTTTGCCCCATCCTTGAGAAAATGGTTAGTTTTCAGAGCAGTCTAATTTTCCTGTAGTAATGAAGATAAAAAAATATTATCATTGTGTCTTCTTCCCCTTACTTGCTCACCTTTTGTTTCAAAAAGAATAAACTAGTTCAGATCAGTCCCAGTGGCTTAGAAGATAGGTTTTTGAGGAATGTGGAATTAGCGTTACTTTTTGTAGCATATACGTCAGCTGATTCTTTGGTATATTGATTTGCTTGCAATTTGAGAAAGAAAAGGGCTACAATTTCCTTAATGGTATGCTTCTGATTTATAGATCGTTCTTATATGCGATTAACAGAAAAGGAAGACGAATCACTGCCAATAGATGTAAGTTGGTCATTTATATTCCATTAAATATATGTTAAAAGTATAGCTGCATTTCTTATTGTGATTTCTTTTTCTGTTTTATTCTCTTACAAATTCCAAACTCGAAATGACATCTGTTTTCTACTTCTTGTCGCTCATCATAAAACCCAGAGATTTGGAAACAAGATTTCTCTGTTTCATTCCTAAAACTATAATTTAAATATAGTTTAAAAATAGCTTAGATATATAGAAACTGCTCTGTTCATGGTCTGAGATGGATTTGAAAATTGTTTATATTTTAGAAAGGTTTCTTTATATAAAGTATAATCAAGCCAAACTGTTTAGCGTGTGTATGTGTGTGTGTGTTTGTGTGTGTGTATATATCTTTAAACCAAATGATATCAGAGCTTCACTCATAATAGAGTGAACATTGTGTTTTGTTATTTTAAAATTTTAAATCACAAAAGCAGTAAGTTCTTTTTAACAAATCCAAACAGTAAGTGTAAGAAGTAAAATGAACCCCATACCAAAAAAAAAACCTGACCTCATTACTCAGCCATTCCCAATGGTGTGGAGTATGTCTATCATTCTATTTTCTTCTCATGTATAAAAGACATTTTTAGTAATTTTACTGAATCAAAAGTTTTTTCTTGTGATCTATGTAAAATTTTATAATTTGCTTTTGATTACTTAACTATTTTTAATTTTTAATTTTTTTAATTAAATCACTATGAGATAAACAGTTACAAAGTGGTCCATGACTTGGTTTTTTTTTTTGGTTACAGTCATAAAATGTTCCAACATCCATCCCTTCACCAGTGTACCTTTCTCATCACCAATGTCCCCAGTTTCCCCTTCTTCTGCTCCCCACCTCTCTGTGGCAGGCTCTTTTCTTCTCTCCCTCTCTCTCTCTCTGGGCATTATAATTTGCAATAGAGATAATTTATCTCCCTTTACCTACTTTCAGCACTCATTTCTTGTCCAGAGTGATCATTTCTATGATAATGAAATATGTCTGTGACAATGACAGTTGAAAATAACCATTTATCTTGAACACAGTTTCATGGCAACTTGGAAATTTCCCACATTGCAGTTCTTAGTGCTCATGTATGGAACACGGCTTATGTATGAACCCGGCTCTCTGGACGCACCAGTAGTGGGGACATAGATTGGTGTCACATGACTTTAGGATTTAACTGAGAAAGACTAATATCTTCTGGCAAATTTTGACTGTAGTCAAATTTGATAAGCATATGACACCTTTGCCTTGTGTAGAGATACACATCCCAGGTCAGTTGGTATCCACGTACAGTCGCTTCGATTCACAAACTGTCAATTGTGGAAAAGACAGAGTCGCAGTCCAGAAAAGGAAACATGCTTGTAATTCCATGTTGGTTAATACCCAATGCTGCAAGTTTTGCTTGCACAACTTCTTTGGAAAGCAGTTAGCACTTGCCTAATAAATTGTGTCCTGTGCATGAGCAGTTCTCCTCCTCCTGCTCCCCAGGAAACATACATGAGGAGTGCCATCACGGCATTGTGAAAGCTACATACCACCAACACTCCACAGAATTATCAGCAGTTGGCACAAGTAAACGGTGATACTTTTTAATAACGAAGTACAAGACAAATGGTGAAAACACTACAATCCTTTGCCACACCACGGCTGAATCTCCCCCCAAAGTTAAAAATAGGAAAAAGTAAGCAACATTGCATATAAATATTTTTCCCTCTTTGGGGGCCACACCAGGCTGTGCTTAGGCATCCCACCTGGTGGTGCTCAAGGGACCAGATGCAGTCCCGGGGATTTGAACCAGGGTCAGCCAGACAGCAAGGTAAACGCCTTATGTCTCTCTCCAGGCCATGCTTTAAAGACCTCTACATAGCTGGCAAAATTAGAGTGAAAATCAAGTAAGTGATTCATATACAATTCAGGACAATGATTTTTGAGTGGGAAGGTGAGGGATATAATCAGAGACACACAGAACCCAAAAGGGACTGGAAACGCCCTATTTCTTGACACACTAACGCTGGTGTGTACCACCAGTAGCTCACACTATAATATGGCTTCATTAACACAAATTGCAGTGCTAGTGTCCATGTGTTAGGGATGTGGTGGCTAAGGGGTATTTTTGGTTTGGGGGCTCCCCAAACTGTGCTCAGGACTTACTCCTAGCTCTGTGCTCAGGGGTCAAACCTTGGCAGTGCTTGAGGGATCATATGCAGTGCCAGGGATCAAGCCCAGGTCAGGCACGTGCAAGGCAAACACTACCTGTTGTACTGTCTCTGGCCCACAGTGTTCTTTCTACATGCTGTAATATTTAACAAAAATATGTGAAAAAAGTTGATAAGTGAGGGGTTTTTTCCATCTTTTTTTTTATTAGTGAAACACCATGAGGTACAGTTATAGACTTATAAATTTTTGTGCTTGGGTTTCAGTTATACAATGATCAAGTACCCGATAAGTGAGTTTTTAATAGCTGTCTGAGCAAACCCGAGAAATCGCTTTGTTTTTTTTAAATAGTTGATCTATACAAATTGTATATTATATTATGTCTGGGTTCAGGTCTTTTTTTAAATTGAATCAATGGTTGGAATCCTCCACAAGTATGCCGGGCAGAGGGTAGGTGAGATGGAGAAGAGACCAGCATGACAATAATAGTTGGGTTCAGGTCTTTTAAAGTGGAACTTCTACCTTGATAAGCTCTGGGAGATGTAACTGTTAGAGGTTATAAAGAGGTGAAGAGAAAAATTGCACATGAATAATAATAGTATTTGTATGTTACTTAGCAATCTCCATCTTTGTACTCATTCACAGATAGTTCTTCAGACACTTCTGGCCTTTGCAGTTACCTGTTATGGTATAGTTCATATTGCAGGGGAATTTAAAGACATGGATGCCACTTCAGAACTAAAAAATAAGTAAGTTTTTTTCCTTTTCATAGAATGGAATTTCGTAGCAGTTTTTGGTTCTTTTATGTAATGTTTGTTTTCTGGTGCATAAAAGTTTGTTTTGTGTTTTAAAACTTTTTACTCAGTAGCTGGTAGAGCAATGAGGGTAAAATCTGGGGGCAGAATTTCATGTGATAGGAAAAATGGAAGTCAAATGACAGTTTATAGACAGTAGAATAAGATGTGTTATTAGGGTGCTTAAAATTATCTGTTGGTTGGATGGATGAATGGAAATAGATAATATTAGACAATCCCCTCAGTAGTTTTCTCGCTCTCCTTTTCTCTTCTTTTTAACCTCCTGGATTTGCTTAGTATTTGAAAAATTAAAGTGTTTTTTTCTGTTTCCTTAATCATTTGAACCTCACCTATGACATAAACTCTGTACTCAAGACCCCCCTTTTTTAATCTGTGGGTTATAATACACTTGTTATTCTGCTCTTTTTATGCTTGTTTTATTCTCTTGTACCACTTCTAAGTTATGTTTATAAGCTCTATTCATTTTTCTTCTCCTTATTTCTTTCTCTCTTGGTAATTCTGTAATTCTATCTTTGGACTTGATCCACCTTTTTGACCTTAGAACTGGTAATACTTTACAATATTTCATTGGAAGGATTCACCGTAAACATTCACGTGACAGAGAAAAATAACCCTTTTTTTCAAACTTTTCTTTTGCGGGGAGGGGGCCTGAACTACACACAGCAGCGCATAAGGTTTACTCCAGGCTCTGCACACAGAAATCACTCCTGGCAGGTTTGGGGGACCAGATAGGGTGCCTGGTCCAACCCGGGTCAGCCGCATGCAAGGCACGTGCCCTACCTACTGTGCTATCTCTCTGGACCCCATTTTTGACTTTGTAATTTACACTTAAAGGAGTTGCATCTCAGGCTTCCTGTTTTGTGTGAAGATGTGTTGAGACTTTTAGGTGTGCTGCCTTTGACATTTGAAGAAGAGCAATTATTTTTCCCTGGGAAAATATATTTTATGATTTGGGGGGCACTCCAGGTAGTACTTGGAGGGCTGCTTCCAGCTCTGTCCTGGGGTGGGGTCAGAACTGGGGAACCATGCAGGACTGGAGATCAAACTTGCAGCTTCCACACGCACTCAGCTCATTGAGCCGTATCTCCAGCCCTAAAAGATAATACTTCAAAACACAACTGTACCAATACACTTAGGTATTTATGAACATTTAAAAAACTGTCTCTTGGGGCCGGAGCGATAGTACATTGGGTAGGGCATTTGCCTTGCACGTGGCCGACCTGAGTTCGATCCCCGCCATCCCATATGGCTCCCCAGCACTGCCAGGAGTGATTCCTGAGTGCAGAGTCAGGAATAACCCCTGAGCATCGCTGGGTGTGACCCCCCCCCCAAAAAAAGAAAGAAAAACAACAACTGTCTCTCACTCTCTCACTAGAAAAGGAGGACTGTGGGCTGGAGAAATAGTCCAAGGGTTAAGGCACTTACCTTGCATGAACCAACACTGATTTGAATTCCTGGCATCACATAGTATTGTTCTCTGTAACCATCTGGGGCACAGAGCCCTGAATAGCTCCAAAGCTCCATTGGGTGTGGCCCCCAAAACTGCCGAATAAAGAAAAGATACTCCATTTTCACTACCCACTACAGTTCTTACAAAGAAATGACCTAGAATGGAAACAGGATGGCATTAAGTAGGTTGATAACAGGACCGGGGAGACAGAACAGTGGATAATGTACTTGCTTTGCATGCAGCTGACCTGGATTTGATCCTTGTACAGAATATGGTTCCTTGACTCCTGCCAGGAGTGATTCCTGAACACAGAACATAGCCAGATGTACCCCCAAACAAACAAAAACGTAGATCATAGCAAAATATATGTGTTTGGACAATGACTGTTATTGAATAGCCAAATGGAATTTTTCGTTATACTTGAAAGATTCCTGGAAAACATCAGTGAAAAGATAATACGGCTTGAATAATGAGGGCAAAGTGAGAATAAGTGAAAGTGGAGCATGTGTTTTAGTTTTCTTAAAAAGACTGTTTGGTAATGGCTATTTTTTGGGCTTAATTTGAATTATTATTTATATTTTTGTTCATGTCCTGCAAGGAATGGCTGCATTAAAATCTTGATGACTTTAAAGTTTTTTTTCAGGTTTCCTATTTGTATGTGGGGGGGATAGGAGATATAGTATAATTGCCATTTATAGCCTGATTTCATTATTTAAACATAGTTAACAGAACCCATAGCAGGGGGTTGAAGTGATAGTACAGCGGATAGGTGTCTGCCTTGTACATGACTGACCTGGGTCTGATCTGCGGCATCCCATATGGTTCCCTGAGCACTGTGAGGAGTGATCCCTGAGCACAAAGCCAGGAGTAACCCCTGAGCACTGCCGGGTGTGGCTAAAAACCCAATTAAAAAAGACCAGAACCCATAGCAAATTTGTAATTTATTAGACGACTGCTTAATGTCAGACAGGCTTGTATAAAATTAATGCTTTGTTTTCTTTTAAGGACATTTGACACGTTAAGGAATCACCCATCATTTTACGTATTTAATCATCGTGGTCGAGTACTATTCCGGCCTTCGGACGCAGTGAACTCTTCAAATCAAGATGCATTGTCCTCTAATACATCATTGAAGTTACGAAAACTTGAATCACTGCGTCGCTAAGATTTTTACAAATTATGGTAACAGGACAGGACACAGAGCTGGAATATTGGAGTTTGGGGTATCAAACACTCCCCACATCAGTATTTATAATGAAATTTCAGAACTAAGTTAAAAAAAGTCCAGGGCCCTTGTTTGTACACTGTTAATCAAACCATTAACACAATGTAAGTTATCTGTGAAATGAATCTGATCTTTCTGAGGGAATTCTTATTTTCTTTAAAATAAAGCCACAGCTTGTTTGGGGCTGGGGAGAGACTTACGCGGTCGAGTATGTGCTAAGGACCTGAGTTCGATCCCCAGTACTCGCCTCTCCCCCCCTCCCCCCGGTACTGCATGGCCCTTCTGAGCACTGCTGGGTATGGTTCTTATAAATATATAAAGGAAAATCAAAAGTCATATCTTTTGTAAAAGTCACTGTTTTGAACATGTTTCTTTGAAAAATGTTAATGATTTTCATGACTATTTATTTTCTTAGATCTTTTGCACTTCGGGTTTTAGGGTCCTTTGGGAAATGATATGACTACTGCATTTTGCAGCATGAATGACAGTGAACATGGTCTTCAGTTTTTAACTGCAAACGGACTTCTCTAAAGGGGCCCAAATGGTGACTTGCCAGTTTTTCCTATGCGCCCTCAAAAGAGCTCTGGCTCTGCTTCAGCAGATGTTTGCCAGTTATTAATTATTCATGACCTTTCTCTCGACCCTGAGGTCATAGCCCTTCTAACATTGGCTGTCTTGTGTCATCACTTCTGGGGTTCTGTGTGCAGTGAGCAATTTTTGAGTCAAGAGATTCTTTGTCATAACAAATGTAATGAATGAATTCAACTTGTTATAAAGCGACCGTGCTTTCTTCATTTGTATGTAAAATGTTCCTTAAATGATTATGTAGTATAAGAATAGTTGGAGATAGACCAAAAGGACTGTAATGATATAATGATCCTGCCTGTGTAAAAGAATAATAATCACTATGAGAAAACTGATTACTTACCCTTAGCCAGTTTTAACTTATTCAAAGTTTCTTCTTTTATTGCATATTAAACTAGTGAATTAGTAAAAAATAAAGGGCACTTCTCATTCAAAGGTAAACCTCAAAGGAACTGGGCCAAATATGTTTTAAATATTTGGAACTAATAGCTTTTTAATAATGAAGGTCATTTAAAAATGGACTTGTAGCTTCTGATTTGTAGCAGGCTTAAACTTTTCCATTTTTTGTTGTATGTTGCTAAAGGTGAGGACGAGGCTACAGAATAGGACACGTTTAGAAACAGTAATTTTAGTTGTACGAAATATGGCTGGTTCTTTGCTAGGCAGGCAGTTTAAGATTTATTTGTAGAGGACATTGTTTTTTTCTGAATGGTAGGGATATGAAAACTTCGCTTTTGTGAAACTGTAGGTGTAAAGGGAATAGCTAGGCAGATATGAAAAGAAAATATGCTCACACAAGAGTCATAAAATGTCCTTACACTTGATGCTGTTTCCTCCTTAAACGAATTTCATGTGTTTTATTCTGTCTGGTAAGGCACAGCCCATGGCCTGAATTACTTGGCCACTGGGATTTTTGTTGTTCTTTTTTCACCTTTTCTCCGTCTGGTCTGTGAAGGACTCTGAATTTTTTTAAGAAGTATAAGAAATTTGCTGATAGTCTAAAATAATTTGTAAAAGGAATTAAAATGTGAAGTTGGAGATTAAAGTGGTAATGATTCAATCAAATGACATGCAAGAAATAAGCTCTTTCCATTCGCCTTTCTATTTCTTCAACGTCTTGATTTGCAAGAGCTTCTTCTTGGTTTCTTCACTTTGGGGCTGTATTCCTTCCTTGAACTCTGTTCATAACTTAAGAAATCTTGAGATAAAATGGACCCACTTAACAGTTTACCCACTTAATGGGTATAATCCAATCAATTGCAGTACATTTGTGATCACCCCCGAAAGCAACCTGGGGAGGAGGGCCATTGGGGATGTGACTCAAGTGGTGGAGCTCGTACTTTGCCTATGCAGGTCCTGACTCTCACTCCATATGTCTCTTCCCCCACCAGACACCCCACAAAATTAAAATTCTCCAGAACCTCACAGCCTTCAGCAGTAACCTCTCATTCTCCCCCAAAGCCTCACAGCCTAGGGCAACCACTAATTTTTCTACCCCGTCAAGTTGCCTATTCTTGTCGTTTATTGTAAATGAATCTGTACAGTATCTGGTATTCAGGTGACCGGCTCCCCAAATAAGATTTTGTTCAGTGTGGACTAAGAACTGTGGTTGCTGTGAAGGGAAGTGGTTCCTAAAATTAGGAGACAGAAGAGTGATGACAAGACACCAAACAGGTTTCTCTGTCAAGCTGATATGCCGAAGACATTCTCCTTCCAATCAGGCATTCATGATATACTACTACTTAGAATATCTTGACTAGTCTCTAGAATGGATATTGAACTCTGCTCAGTCAGGAAAATCCTGCTAACAGTAATGCCAAATAATTTGGCAACTAAATGACATAGCACTCTCTAAGTATGTCTGACTTTGCTAGCAGTTTGTATACCTCGGGCCAGGTGAGCTTCTCAAGTACCGTATGAAATTTCCTCCAGTGCGTTTCTGCTGTCTTTTCTAAATAAGTACCATAGGACTAATGGTGATTTGGGTGCATCGTAACAATGCTAAATGGATTAAGGACAGAATTTTATTTATAAACTGAGACAGTCTATCACTATTGCGGGCAGTCCAAAAATGTGATGTGAGCTAGTTAATTACGCCTGCAGTTGGTTATAACTTATTTCAGTTACATTCAGAAATATGTATTATTGGAGGTTCTAATGAATGTAGGACTCACTTTTTTCCATAACCAGGGATCTAAGCCAAACGCTCTGTGTTAATGGCATAGCTGCAGAAAATGCAGAGTGACAAACGGGAGGCCAATATTCTTGCAATTCCATAATGATTGTTTCCTAAGCATTGTGGCTTATTTTTGAGTGGCATGACAGCGCCGTCTTGGTTGTATGTGGCCTGTTTCCATGATGTAATGTTGTTTGTTGTAAACATCGATGCCTGTAACACCAAGCTAAACACATTATTTTGGATATGTTTCTTCTCTTTAAATGACCTTGCCCTGTCCAATAAATAAATGATTGTCTCAGCCTGTTTTGGTGGTGGTGGTTTTTGGGTTTTTGTTTTTTGATTTTGAAAGAATCACATTTTCTTTTGCTTCTCTGTCCCAGGAAAAATGTAACAGCTAATTTTATAACTGCAAAGCTGTTTTACTCAGCTCAATGGATTCTTTTTAATATACATGTAAAGTCTTCTTGCATTTTTATGTTTTCAGTCTAAATTATATTGGTTTTGGTTTTGGGGCCACATCCAGTAAAGCTCAGGACTTACTCCTGGCTCTGCACTCAGGAATCACACCTGGAATTCCCTGGAGGGGATGGAGGAGGGAGCATATGGGATGCTGGGGAACAAATCCAGGTCGGCCCGTGCAAGGCAAGTTCCTGTACCATCTCTCCAGCTTCTCAGTCTAAATTAAATGTGTAATCTCATTTATATTAATATTTATAAAGTATCAAATGCCCTTCAGAGTACAAGAATTTCAGCTCTTTAACAGTAATGGCTAATCATTCCATCACAAATTTGTTATCCAGCCAAACCAAACTGCCATTAAAAAATGTCACTACATACTTAGCAAGGAATCATTGAGATTAAAGCATCGGGGAAAATCTAAGGTTCAATAAAAATCCAAGAGCTTGACTGCTGGGAGTAATTCCTGAGTGCAGAGCCAGGAATTACTGGCTGGGTGTTCCTAACCCCGTCAAAAAAAATCCAAGGGCTTGGGTTGCAAAGCATTGCACTTATGCCTTTGAAAAAGTAGCTCTGTCAACATTCAGATATATCTAGGAACAGCTCAAACTAACTTACAAAACAAGTATTCTCTAAGAAAAACAGAAAGAATATGCACGTGGCAAAAAAAGTCATATGGCATGGAAAGGCAGAAATTATAATTTGCTCCCTTCCCAATATCCCTCTCCAATGATAACCAGCTTAAGATGTCTTGTATATTCTTTCAGGCAAAAAATTATCAGAAAATATATACTTAGACAAGTCTCATGTTAATCAGAATGTATACACTCTGTATCTTGCTTCCTTTTGCTGCCTGTGTCTCATACGAGTTTTATATGTCAATATATACTGAAATACTTTGTCCTTTTTCACAACTGCATGGTATTCTAATATATGAATGTCTTACAAATGTCCAGACATTGGTTTCCAATATTTAATATTCCAATATATGACTGTTTTACAAATGCCCAAACATTGGTTTCCAATATTTAATTGATAAACCACATTTCAGTAAACATGTTTGTACATATAATAGGATTATACGTAAAGGGACAATTCCTAGCAATTGTATTTCTGGGTTTTTTTTAGAAAGGGTAATTTTCATTTTCAGTTCAGTAGTTACTGCCAAATTGTTCTTCAGAAAGTCCAGTTATATTTTCTCATATGTATGACAATGATTATTTACCAGACTTATGCCAATAAAGGGTGCTAAACTTAAAAACAAACGAGTCTTAAGGTATATGCCATCTTGCATCATTTGGGGAAATAATGGAGGAAATTAAGCATATTTTAATGTTACTGCCTACTCAGACTTCATTCTCTGTGAACTGTATGGTCATGTATCTATTAGATGGTTTATTTTTTATTGCTTTGTATGAGCTCTTTGTAAGCTAAGAAAATTGGTCCATTGTCATGTGTAATAATATTTTCATAAATTTTATTATTTATACAGTCAAATTTATCAGTCTTTATGGCTTCTGGGGTTTGTACCTTGCCTCGAAAGGCCCTTTTCACATTTAAGAATAAATTTTATATATTTTTCTAGGACTTTTTAAGTTTCTTTTTAACCTTTAAGCCTTTGATTCATTTGGAATTTACGTAAAAGATATAGGGTAAGGATTCAACATTTTCTCCCCTAAATGGCAATCTGGTTATTCCAACCCAGTTTATTCTTTCCACACTGATTCAAAAGAATAGCCACATTCACACATTTAATGTCGATGTATATTTGGAGATGTTTCTGATTTGGTGTTCTTTTTTGGGGGGGAGGGGTCTTGTTTGGGGGCCACACCCTGCTGTGCTCAGGGCTTACTCCTGGCTCTGTACTGATGGATCACTTCTGGCATTGTACAGGAGACCATATGCACTGCTGTGAATCAAACTGGAGTCAGACACATACAAGGCAAGCACTAATATCTGGATTGTCTATCCAGGTTTCATTTTACTGCAATTGAGATTGAGGTTTCATTTTACTGCAAACATCACCAGTCTTAATTATGTCATCACTAAACATTTTCATATTTGGCTCTGCTTACTCATGCTTCATTCATGTTTAGGATCCCTTTACTTAGTTATTTTTGAATGTTTGTTTTTCCAACTGAACTTGAGCATCATTTTGTCCATATCTAAAATGCTGTTGATACTGTCCTTGAACCTTCTTTTAAGTGCCAGGGACTGAACTCAGGGCTTCATTCATCCACAGAAAGATTTTATTTTGAGAAATTTCATATTTCAGAAAATGTGAGAAAAAGTATTAAAAAAACAATAGTATACTCTTTTTTTAAAGAAAAATAATGTAGGAGTAATGCTATTTGTTCAACCATTGATTAAGCTGATTTAATTGGGCATGAACTCCACATTACTTTTTTTTATTTTATTGTATCACTGTGAAAGTTACAAAGCTTTAATATTTGATAATCAGCCATACAATGATGAACACTCATCCCTCTACTAGTGCACATTTTCCACCACCAATGTCCCAAGTGTCCCCCCCCCGCACCATCCCAATCCTCACCCTGCCTCTATGGCAGACAGTTTCCTCAATACTCTCTCATTTTGGGCATTATGTTTTGCTCGAATTTTCCCACCACCATTCAAGCCTACCTGCCAGGGGCAGACGCTAGATAATACATTTTCCATAGCTCATTTTGAATATCATGAGACCTCGCGAGGCCGCCATTGTAAATGTAAATTTCTAGATTGTAAATGGTTGGGTTCCAGAGACATCTCTGTATGGCACTAATCCATTTTGGGATTCAATTCAATTCAATTCCCTCTGGGCCAGGGTTGTTGGTGCGCTAAGATGGTGTCCGGGGGCAAATTGTGGATATGACAGCTAGTCTTCTGGGCGGAAAGAAACCCGGGAAGGGACAGCCTGGGTCCTCAGCCGCCATGCGGCCTGGAGATTTAGTCCTAGATCCTGCATACCAAGGGCCTTGCTTGTGGAAGCTCTTGGTTCACTGGGATTCCATCTGGAGTAGGTGGGGAGACTGCACCTGCTTAATCTGGGGTGCCCGGGTGATATTGGCTTGGTAACACCAGTATTCTCTTATTTATTTATTCATTTTTTATTTGGGGGGATCACACCTGGCAGCAATCAGGGACTATTCCTGACTCTGCTTAGGAATGATCATTGTCAGCACTCAGGGAACATGTTTGTTGTGGCTTGAACCTGGGTCAGCTGCATACAAAGCAAGTGCCTTAACTCCTGTACTATCTCTCCAGCCTACACCCGTACAATCTGCATCCTGGTTCACGGTTTCTAATAGGTTGCCACATTGGCTTTTGTTCTCCCCAAAAGTGATTTCCCCACTCCTGAATAGCTTGTGCACACTTTGTGGCATCCTTAAATATGTCAACATGCCTCTCTAGTAAAAATGGCATGTCTCAAGTAATGGGCTTCGGATACTACCTGGAGTCTGTTTGCTATTTTCAGCCACTGCACACCATGCTTCATGGGTTAGAGACCATGCTAGGCTTCAAGGCTGCACTTCTGTACCTCTTTAAAAAGATGTTCTTGGCTAGAGCAATAGGACAGCGGGTAGGGTGTTTGCCTTGCATGCAGCCAACGCGGGTTCAATTCCCAGCATCCCATATGGTCCCCTGAGCACCACCAGGGGTGATTTCTGAGTGCAGAGCCAGGAGTAACCTCTGTGCATCGCAGGGTGTGACCCAAAAAGTAAAAAAATGTTCTTGGACTGAAAACATGAGATGTAAGCTACAAACACTGAACTTTGTAATGTTCCTGTCATCGTGGCAGGTGTGGGCTTGGCAGGGTTCATGGAGTATGGGAACCCTCACAGAAGGAATTTGACATTAGTGATGGGATTGGTATTGAAATATAATATGCCTAAAACTTGGCTTTGTAAATCATGGTTCTTCAATTGAAAATTTTTAAAAATTGTCCTTGGGCCAGACCTATAGTACAGCATAGCCAGTATGTGGGGTCTTTTCCTTGCAAGTGGCTGACCCAGGTTTGATTACAGGTACCCTATGCAGTCCCTTGAGCCCACCAGGAGTGATCTCTGAATGCAGAGTCAAGCTCCCCACACAAATAACAAATATGTCCTAAGCTTTGAAATTTATTTATTTATTTATATTCTTTTTTTTTTTTTTGCTTTTTTTGAGTCACACCCGGCGATGCTCAGGGGTTATTCCTGGCTCTTCACTCAGGAATTATCGCTGGTAGTGCTCATGGGATGCTGGTAATTGAACCCGGGTCGGCAGCATGCAAGGCAAATGCCCTACCTGCTGTGCTATCGCTGGTCACACCCAGTGATACACAGGGGTTACTCCTGTCTCTGCACTCAGGAATTACCCCTGGCGGTGCTCAGGGGACCATATGGGATGCTGGGAATCGAACCCAGGTCGGCCGTGTGCAAGGCAAATGCCCTGCCCACTGTGCTACTGCTCCAGCCCTTTTTTTTTTTTTAAAGAATTATGTTTCTTTTTTATTTGGAGGTCATACCCTGTGATGCTGAGGCTATTCCCACCTCTGCATAAGGGGGTTCTTGGTTGATGCTCTGGGACCTTGCAGTGCTGGGAATCAAATCTGGGGCCCCTGTGTTCAAATGCTTTGCATGCACTCAGCCCATTGAGTAGTCTCTGCTACAGAAATATTTGGTTCTCTAGTAAGACTGGAATGTTATTACAGAGTTCCTACATATCCTCCTCAGTTTCCCATATTATTGGTACATAAACATGACTGATAAGACATTCGACACACTCAGTGAAACCATATAGACACAGGCGCAACTGCAGTTATACTATTTGGATTGCCTTCATTTTTACCCTAATGTCTGGCTCCTA